TTCATTCCGATAAATAAGTAAGACCGATATATTTATTCTACGATGTATTGCTTTCTCTTTGCAGTAACACTATTGTAAAAGGCTTGTGAGAGTTTTCGTATACCAAAACTAGTATGAGAGTTATATGCTTTAAAAATTCTTTTAATGGGAGCTTAACTCTCATTACAAGAATTAATAACTCTAATAATTGCGCTGTTTTGCTCTTATATAGATCTCATTAGGATCTTTTAGTGTTTTTCTTAACGAATTCTTAATATAGCTCTGCAGGAGTCTTATGAGATAAAAATTGTTACATGGGATGGTCATTGTTTCAATACGAAGAATTTAGATATTGAATTTCAAAGAAATCGGTTGATTATTTCTCTTTATATACGCAAAAATGTATAGTTGGCCCGTAGTAAACGTCCACTTGCTAACACCTGATTTCTTTCGAAAATTAGGAGGTTTCGCGGACGGTCGAACAAAGCTTATGTGTGAAATTTCAAGTAAATCGGTTGAATATTTTGTTCAAAATGTAAAACAGGTCCGCTAAAAAGTGCAGTTCCCGAGACCTGATATATTAAAAAAGTTGTTCCATCCGTGCCATGGTCGAAGTAAACTTACATATAAAATTTCAGCAAAGTAGGTTCAGCCGAACTTGCGATACACGCGTGCACACACAGACCGACAGAACGACAGACCGATAAGTTGCTAAAAATATTTTATTTACACTTTCCTATCATGGTGCTATATAAACTATATAAACTATTGTATATCTATTGTGTACACAATACGGTCGATAAGAAGTGTAACAGTCCAAAAAGTATAGCGAAAATCGTCCTAAAAAGGTTTACTGTTGTTCCTCAACTAAATTAATTAGCAATGCTATTCTAGTCTTTTAAGTTTAGTATAAATTTAAAAAAAAAATACTGTTACATAATGTGCCATACAAAGGTGTGGTATACTCCTAGTGATAAAAACTAGTAGAAATCGAGTGCGAAGAAATAACATTTTCGACCATGTTTTATTTTATTCCATTTTTAGCACTTTTCCAAAAATTTTTTGAAAAAAAAGTGCTTATTAGTTTCACTCTGTCCGTCCGTCCGTCCGTGGACACTGTTTTTGTTTACAAAACTTTTACACCCTTGAAGATAGAAAGCTGAAATTTAATACGTACATAGATCTTTACTAGGAACTTATTTCCGTAGAACAAAATTTTTACCTATCTTCCCCGCTCTAGAAGTTATACCCCCCTAAAAACCCTAAAAATGGCCTTTTTTAACTATTTGTTGCAAAGAAACCAGAAGCATTTTTGAAATTTTGCAAACGCAAAAAAGCAGCGGGTTCCTTTCCCCAGCCCGGTATACTATAGTTAAACTTCAAAAAAACAAAATGGCCGTTCAAATTTATTGTTATCTAAAGTCTTTTTTTCCAAATTTTTGATTTCGTTTTTCTTCTAGACCCCAGCCTGGGGAAGCTTAAAATAGGGACTTTTAGACAATAACCAATAGTTCGTTTCGTTAGAAGAAATTTTTTTTCCATCTCCACCCCCTCTCGAGTTATCGCCTCTTGAAATTTGTAAAATTTGAATTTTTGGCACCTTATATTTCCGAAACCGCAAGCTTTTTCAAATTTCTATAAACGCAAAAAACTAACGGTAAATTCAATGACATTAAAAAATATAATTATTTTTCTTAACTAACACAATTAACCCTTAAAATCGAGCATTATGTTAACCCCACTTTATACTAATTTTTACTTTATTTCAAAGACTGCATGAATCGTTCATCCTAAATACATGCAATCCTAGAAAGAGTATCGTATATGAATGAAAATATTTTTAATGGTGTGTTAGATATACATAGACTGCATTTAAAAGCAGAATTTTCACTTGTTTAAGGGAGAAGTGCTACAATACAAACCATTAGTTTGACCCAACTTTATTAACCTTAGTTTCTATATTTTTATATTTTTTTGTCTTATGCTGCTAAAGAATAAAATATTTTCTCATTAAGCAGAGCCATATATTACTGCAAATGCAGCATAAAATTTTATTGTTTTCGCAATTGCTTATTTCACTCGAGAATATGTAACTTGAATTAAGTATTCTCTTTCAAGATTTTATACATAGAAAAGATAGTTGTATAAATTAACCAAATTGTAGGCATATTTTAGCCATTACAGCAATGTTTTGTTACTGCACAAATAAAAAACATTACAGTAAGAGTTATAAAAGAATATGTTCTGCGGCACAAACAGTCATAATGGTCTTTTTGCATATTATAAGTATTTAGTAAGATTCTGGGATTCAGATATACCTTAAGTTATACTAAAGTGAGAGGAAAGTCAGTAACTGTCATATACTTGTTTAATGTAATTTTCCAGTGTGAGAAGAATTATTTGGTATTGCGTGTCTCATAAAATTTTTCTAAAATGCATACAAAATTTATTCACTTTATTTTTGAAAGTTACACGTTCAATCGATAATTTGAAATATAAAAATCCAATTAAAACAAGTAAAAATGTTTCTGTCGGTGTAAACTGACCAAATTATACCCTTCACATTAGCAATCTGAATTTAAATTTTGTTTTTGAAATATCTAGAATTAGCGCTCATTGTTAAATATCAAGTACTCGAACCTGACAAACCACTCTATATAAACTGCATGGACATGTTTGACCTATAATTGGACACACAACTTCCAAGTTTCATGAATCTAACTCTATTATATTTTTGAATATTTTAAATTAGCTTTCATGGCAGCTCCTCAAACCATTTCATCAAAACTTCAGGGATATGTGTAACCTATACTTCGACACACGACTACCAAATTTCATGAATCTGACTTTATTATTTTTCGAAATATTTAAAAATAGCTCCTGGAGTTGCATGGCAGCTACTTCAATCCGTCAAGTCATATCACCAAAACTTCAGGAATATATGTTACATATAATTGAACACACGACTGGCAAGTTTTATGATTCTAACTTTATTATTTTTCCAAATATTTAAAATTAGCTTTTGGGGTTGTATGTCAGCTACCAGAAGCAATGGAGCCATTTCATTAAAAATTTCAATCCATATGTAATTGGACACATCCTCGCAAAATTTGTTATTGATATCTTTATTATGTTATATGGCAGCTACCCGAACCCGTCGTCCGAATTGGTCCAATTACAATAGCAGCCGTCGTGTGCGCAAAAGAAGCAACTTGTGAAAGTTTTGTGCCAATTGCTTTATTCGTTTTTGAGTTATCGTGCGATCGGACGGACGGACGGACGGGCGGACGGATAGACGGACATGTCTAAATCAACGCAGAATTTTACGCTGAGCAAGAATAAAACTCCATACCAGAGTGAATATACCCTTCACGAAGCGCAGGGTATGAAAATGAGCAATCTTATTGAAAAAGTGAAGCATCCTTTAGAAAATACTGAAAATTTTGATTTGAAGGTGAATAAAATGTGTGTAAAAAAGCAAAATACGCGATCAGGCGGTTAAAATGATATCAAATCATCAAAAAGAAATTAAAATAAAGTTGGGTCAAACCAATGGTTTGTATTGTAGCACTTTTCCCTTCAACAAGTGAAAATACTGCTTTTAAAAACAGTCTATGTATATCTGCCACACTATTAAAATTATTTTCATTCATAAACGAAACTTTTTCTAGGATTGCATATATTTGGGATGAACGATTTATGCAGTTTTTGAAATAAAGCAAAATTTAATATAAACAGGGGTTAACATAATGCTCGATTTTAAGGATTAATTGTGTGAGTTAAGAAAAATAATTATATTTTTTAATGTCATGGAATTTACCGTTAACTTTTTGCGTTTATAGAAATTTGAAAAAACTTGCGGTTTCAGGAATATAAGGTGTCAAAAATGCAAATTTTACAAATTTCAAGAGGCCATAACTTGAGAGGGGGGGAGATGGAAAAAAGTTTTTTTCTAGCGAAATGAACTACTTGTTAATGTCTAAAAGCCCCTAAAATTTCAAGCTTCTATAGGCTGGGGTCTAGAAGAAAAACGACATCAAAAATTTGGAAAAAAAGGACTTTAGATAACGGTAAATTTGAACGGCCATTTTGTTTTTCTAAAATTTAACTTTAGTATACCCCGATAGGGGAAGCAAGCCAGTGGCTTTCTGCGTTTACAAAATTTCAAAAATGCTTATGGTTTCATTGCAATAAATAGTTAAAATAGGCCATTTTTAGTGCTTTGGGAGGGTATAACTTCTAGAGGGGGGGAGATAGGTAAAAATTTTGTTCTACGATAATAAGTTTCTAATAGAGATCTATGTACGTATTAAATTTCAGCTTTCTATCTTTAAGAATGTAGAAGTTTTGTAAACAGACACACGGACAGACGGACGGACGGACGGACGGACGGACAGAGTGAAACTAATAAGCACTTTTTTTCAAAAAATTTTTGGAAAAGTGCTAAAAATATATGGCTACTACTCGTATTTATAGAGATGAATGAAATATGCCAAATATATATCTTTTATATTTTAGCTTTTGATACTCTATTGAAAATTCCTTTTGTATGACTTTAAACTCACGTACATTTTAAAATTATTTTTAATAAATTTATGGAATACTCGTGTTGACACATCCGTCGAAAACCTCAAAGCAACAGTGTGAAAGCCGTTTTGTTATAAGCAAACAAAAAAATTTCTCGCATTGTACACAAGAATAAAAAGAGAAATATAGGCTTAATGATTGCAGATCTTTTTAGATACTGAGTAAAAATAAATATCTAAAAGTCCGGCTTGATGATTCAGTCTTATAAGATATGGAAACACAAACGTGTCGATAGCAAAATATTTTATTGTAAATTATTCTTGAGAAATTATTTATAAAATGAAAAGAGCTAAAAGTTTAAAAAAAGAAATTTTCATTTGCTGTGAGTTGTGATTACAATATCTTTAATGTTTTTTAAATAATAATTTAAAAAAAATGTGTTATTTACATTGTAGTTATTTTTCTTGTGATAAAAATTAAAATATTTTCTGCGCAAAATGAATATACAGATGAGCAAGGCAGATATATATTTGATGCACCAGTATTTATTAGAAATAGGTAAAAATATATCAGTAAACCAAATTCCATAACTGAAATGAGCACCTTTACAATAAATCCATTATCGCCATTTAGACAACAAAGTACATTTTCACAACAGGAAAGGCAGAACCCAACAAATACTTTACAAAGCAGCCAGCAAGTTTTGATGAATAGTTCTACAAATTCAAAAAACCAGTTAGTTACACCAAGACAAGTTTTTAATGTAACAATGTCGATGTTAACACCTGCACCAAGAAATCCTCAGTTAAGAGCTGACATTCAAAATTGCGTACGTACTTGCCCTACAACTACTGAATTTAATCCGGCTTGCGGCAATGATGGTATATCATATTCGAATCCCCAAAAATTATCATGTGCGCAAAGATGTGGTCAAGGTATAGTGAAAATTTAACAAATTTAAAAAATTTATATGTAGGTTGAAATTGATAGGTTGAAATTTTTGTCAACTAATGACCTAAGTAGACTTTAGTTTGGCTACCCACTTTTAAGTTACTGAATTATTGATATTCGAAGTGTAAGAGCTATAGAAATTTTGCTATGTGTATTTATAACGAACTGAAGCTGAGAAGAGGCAAGAGTGGTATATTTCTTAACTATGTGAAATAGTTAAGTTAACCAAAGTTTAATATTGATAAAACAAAATTCTTTATAAATTTAAAAATTTTTTTATAAATTTAAAAAAATTAATGTCCAAAAATTATTGACAAAGTATTTTTAGTATTCTGTAAATAAAACTGGGTAAAGTACATAATGTATTTATTATGTCTTAGCTTTTTCGAAAATTACTTTAGCTTCGGCAATTAATTAATTCTACATTAAGAAAAGTTGAAAACAAGCCTGAATTATCGTTATTATTTTGAAACATTATGTTGAATTTTGGAGTTTTGAAAGTTTGAGACATAAAAAGAGTAAAGAGGAGTAAAAACGAATTTGACGAAAATCAAAAATAAAGTGTTTTTAAAAAGTAAAAGTACACTTTGTTTATTGAAAAATAATTATTACCGACCGTATTGTGTACACAATAGGTAGGTTATGTGATGGTAACAAATTTTGCATATCGAGTTTTCGGTGGGCATGTACTTCTCCATAGTAGGGAAGAGTAAGTAAACTATTTTTAGCAACCTGTCGGTCCGTCGGTCTGTCGGTCTGCTGGTCTGTCGGTCTGTGTGTGAACGCGTGTATTTCAAGTTCTGCTGAACTGATTTTGATGAAATTTCATAAGTAAGTTTATTTCCACCATGACACGGATTGATCAACTTTTGAGATATATCAGGCCTCGGGAAATTCACCATTTTGAAGGAAATATTTAACCGATTTACTTGAAATTTCATATATAAACTTTTTTCGACCGTCCGCAAAAATTCCTAACTTTTGGAAGAAATCAGGCATCAGCAACTGGACGTTTACTACGGGCCAAATATACATTTTTCCGTATATAAAGGGATATAATTCACCGATTTCATTGAAATTTAGTACATGAATTCCTCGTATTAAAACAATGAACATATAAACTTTTTGGAAAGATCAGGACTCGAAAACTGATTTGCGGGCCGATTTTACATTTTCACCATTTTGAAGAAAAGATTCAACCGATTTACTTAAAATTTCATATATGAGCTTTGCTCGACCGTCCGCGAAAATTGCTAACTTTTGAAAGAAATCAGGTTTCAGCAACTGGACGTTTACTACGGGCCAAATATACATTTTTGCGAATGTAAAAAGAAATAATTGACCGATTTCATTGAAATTTAATATTTGAATTCCTCGTATTAAAACAATGAACATATAAATTTTTTGATAAGATCAGGGCTCGAAAACTGATTTGCGGGCCGATTTTACATTTTTCACCATATCTACGGAACGAATTGGTGTAATTTCTTGAAATTTAATGTTTGAGTACTGGTTAACTGTCGAGCATTTCTGGGAATTCGGGTAGCACAAAGCGAAACTCTACTAAGGGGCAAATTTACATTTTTCTAAGTATGTTAACTATAAGCTTACTAATGTCCTAAAAAGTGGAAAGAAGTATTTAAAAAACATTTTTATAATATTCTGTAACCCTTTCACTTAACTATACAATATACAATATGGTCGGTTATGTGCTGACCACATCAGATTTTTTTTATTTTGATTTCTTTATAGCCATAACCATAAAGCTTAATTAAAATATTGGTTTTTAGTCATTATTTTCATGTATATACTTATTCTGCATATTACGAGTAAATAAGATTTTCTAATTTATTATCAAAAAATCAATTCGAACAAAACAAAAACAAATTCAAAATGAAAACAGTAAAAATTTCAATAAAAAATTGTAATTTTTCAGGTTTAGGAATGTCATGTGATATTTCTTGCCTAATATTAATATATATGTAGGTATCTCGCAAATTTGTGAAAGTTTTAAAATTTTTTTTACTGTTGAATAGATGAACAATAGTTAAGTGAGTAGTTATAATTATCCCTCCATTTTTATTTCTCTGTGAATATAACTACGTTAGTCGAACAGCTGTAATAATTTAATAATGAATGAACAATAGGCATTTTTAGAAACTCAATACTGCAAAACAATGACGTGATACATACGCAATATATTTTTAACAGTTGTATAAAAATATTTCCTTCTTTGAATTTGTAGTATTGTGTTCATGAACAAAAAATGTCGTTAAAAAAAAGATCATTTATTTTGGGCCAAATAGTGGCAAAGCAAGTTCGTAAAGCAAATTGCATAAGTGATCGTTAATTTGGTCTCTCTCTCTCTCTTTATAAGTACCTTGATTAGAATTGTTAAGATTTAATTGCAAAAAGTTCACTCATTTGAGTGTGCAACTGAATTTTATGAGTAGATAATAAAATAAAATAAAATATGAAATTTCATGTAAACGTGTTTTTATTTTGTTAGGACGCTTTTGTTATGCTAATGAAGTTATAAACAATATAATATCTAATTACTGAATTTGATATTGTAAAATAGTCTATTTTTTTTTTAAAGTTGTTAATTGCGATTTTTTCCTTTTGCAGATGTTCAATTTTTAAGACATGGTAGATGCCGACCGTTCGCACCTATACAATTTTAAAAAAAAGGTTGTTTTTAATGCTTAAATAAGCTCTAAGGAAAATCATAATAGAAAAAGCATTAATAGGAAAGTTAAATGTGTTTGAAATAAAGCTAAATTAGTTCTTTTATTATGTGATATTATATTTTATTATATTTGCATGTATCTATGTAGCGTAGCATTCTTTTATAGATTTGAAAAAAAAAAACTTGTTTTAATTTACAAGGTAAGTATACCAGCTGAATTTTTTTAGTAAAAAATTCCCACTGAAAAACAAAAGTAAATTAATGTATTTGTTTGTAATATTGTTTGTAATCTCACAATTTACCAAAAAAATGTACATAACTTTTAAACCAGTCTATCTGGAATTTTTTGATTATTCACACGAATCAGCAAAAATAAAATAAAAATAAAATTTATTAATGACTGGTACAGAATTGAATTTGTTTTAGTTCTACTATAAACTTAAAATTGATACCATCTTTGTTATTAAAACTCAGTTTACTAGTTAACAAAATATATTAATTCGTGAATATATTAATTTTAAAGTTTAATATGACGAATTTATTCAAATTGGTAATTCTTGTTGGTAAACAACCTTATGATATTTTTCGAAATAAATATATATTCGAAATATATATATATAGTTACAGTTATGCTAATGATAAATATTGCAAAAATAAGATCTCAATTCGGTCGAAGACGACCTATTAATTCCAAAGTTTTTCCTCAGCAAAATTTTCAATTTGCTAGTGGCCCACAACTTTCACATCATGATAGTGAAATTTTTTCGAATCAATTGAACGGATTTCTAACAAGTAATTTTAATAGTACTGTGGCAATTTTCAAACGCAAAATTTGATTTCAATTTCATTTAAATTTAAAATAATAATTTAGTTCCGCAGCAGCCAAACATCTCTCGAGAATCTCAAACACAAATGCAGCAACAACTTATTCAATTAATAACCCCGCGACCAGTTTTAACACAACAGGTACGTGATTGCCTCAACGCATGTCCTACTACTAATGAATATAATCCGGTTTGTGGTAGTGATCAAATATCATATGGTAATGTACAAAAATTGGAATGCGCCTCCAGATGTGGACAAAGTAAATTTTTTAAAATAATTTTTATTTGCAAAATACCTAGCCAATATGTTAACTCAATTCTTAATTTTAATATTTTATTTTAGATGTTCAGGTTACTAGACAAGGAAGATGTGCACTACGAGATCAAATACAAAATTAAATAGTATATGTATATGGAATTTAGTTTTTTAATTAGTTATACAATAAATTTGTATAATTTGTTATTATTTGGTTCTGCGAGTCAGGCGTTTGAAAGCAGTTCTTTTCTTTTAAATTCACAAAATTTAATATTAATATATAGATATACAAAAATGAAAGTTATCTAGTCCTTGCGTAAATGCGAAATTAGCGCAGAAATAAGTTGTCCAATTAATTAAATATAAATTAGATTTTTCATTTGAAGTCCTTCTTCTTTCTCTCCTTTCAGATCTTGAACTATATATTAAACCACACCCAATTGAAAATAAAACGTTTGAATAATCCATATTTTCTGTAAGCAAAATTTAAAAAATTAATATTTTAACACACTTTCAATAAGATATTGAAAAATAATATGATGATGGTAGAAAAAAAATCCATATACTTGCAAAATTTAAAAAAATCAAATTAGTATATTAATGATAAGGTTTTATTCCTATTATATACATATATATAGCTACTTCTCAGGTGGTAAAAAGTACGGGTACTTCTAGAAAGGCTAGAGACATGGGACAAAAGGCATTAAGTAGAATTTTGCCTCTAGGGTACCAGAAAAATCTGACATTGGAACTTTTTAGCCCCGAAATAGCTCTATTTTAAGATTTTCTGAAAAAATTTTTGTATAACAAAAGCACGTTTTTCTTTTATACTTTTTATAATTAGAAACACAAACCAAGAAATAAATGATACGTTTTACGTTATTTTTATTATTAGAAACACAAACCGAGATATAAATAATATTTGAAAATGCAATGATCTCACATATATTTTAATTTCGAAAAATCGAAATAAACTTAAATAAATGTCAGATTTTATAAAAGACATCAGATGTTTTGTGGCAACTGAATATTAATGCTTCATTTGTTATTGTTTTGAATATTATGTTTCGTCAGCAAGCTTTAAAAAAATATACATACACAATTTATGTACGTATCTACCTAAAAGTTTAATTTTTATTGTTCGAGCGAAAACCTGTAAAAAATGCTAAATTCCAATACATTCATATATACATACATACACATATATATTCATATATACATTCATACACATATTTTTACATACATAAATTATTATTTTGTTTTTGACTAAACATTTTCTTTATGTTTAAAATTCAATCCTATATGTTTACCCGCAGTTTAAAAAAAACAGGTATCCATTCATAATTATGTATATTTGCATTTATAATTTTATTTATAATTTTTCCAACAACAAAATTTCAAAATTTTCGATTCTAATACATTCATATGTACATACGTTCATATGTTGGAACGAAAAATTTTAAAATCTTCAATTCTAATCCATTCATATATCCATACACACATATATTCATATATACATTCATACACATATTTTTACATACATAAATTATTATTTTGTTTTTGACTAAACCTTTTCTTTATGTTTAAAATTCAATCCTATATGTTTACCCACAGTTTAAAAAAAACAGGTATCCATTCATAATTATGTATATTTGCATTTATAATTTTATTTATAATTTTTCCAACAGCAAAATTTCAAAATTTTTGATTCTAATACATTCATATGTACATACGTTCATATGTTGGAACGAAAAATTTTAAAATCTTCAATTCTAATCCATTCATATATACATACATACACACATATATTCATATATACATTCATACACATATTTTTACATACATAAATTATTATTTTGTTTTTGACTAAACCTTTTCTTTATTTGAGAAATTAATTTTTGTAAGTTTACCCCCATGATATAATAATTATGCGTTTAAAATTTATTTCTATTTATTCTACAGTTTTGAATATTATTAAATTCATATAGAAAGCTTAAAAAAAATTACTCAGTAAGCTTTAAAAAAAATATACATACTACATACATATTTATGTACTTAAAATTTTTGCGAATTTTTCCAAACTATTATAAGAATATTTTTTTGGAAATTTTCTTTAAACTTTTATATAACATTTATCAGTTATATATTAAAAAAAAATAAAACACAAAATTTAAACAAAATAAAAAAAAAAATTTTTAAAATAATCCAAAAAAAGAAAAATACAACATCCAGGCAAGCATTGATCCAATAACCTTCTGGCTATGAGACTACCACGCTAACCACTAGGCTACGCAGTACCTCGAATTTCCCTTAATAATTCTATATTTTATTCATATATCGTATAACTCATCAAAAACCATCATATTTTAAATTATATATATATAGCTACTTCTCAGGTGGTAAAAAGTACGGGTACTTCTAGAAGGGCTAGAGACATGGGACAAAAGGCATTAGGTAGAATTTTGCTTCTAGGGTCCCAGAAAAATCTGACATTGGAACTTTTTAGCCCCGAAATAGCTCTATTTTAAGATTTTCTGAAAAAATTTTTGTATAACAAAAGCACGTTTTTCTTTTATACTTTTTATAATTAGAAACACAAACCAAGAAATAAATGATACGTTTTACGTTATTTTTATTATTAAAAACACAAACCGAGAAATAAATAATATTTGAAAATATAATGACCTCACATATTTTTGTTGCGGATAAACGAATTAATCTTAACGTAAATAAATGTCAGCTTTTATCAGACATCAGATGTTTTGTGACATCTGAATATTAATATTTCATTTGTTATTGTTTTGAACATTACGTTTCGTCAGCAAGCTTTAAAAAAATATATGTACATACAGAATATATGTATGTACGTATGTAGTTAGAATTTTATTTTTATTGTTCCAAACGGAAAACTGTAAAATACTAAATTTTAATACATTTATATATACATACATATATTTGAATAAAATTATTATTTTGTTTTTGCCTAAATCTTTTCTTTATTTAAAAAAATTACATTCATATGTACATATATATATTTGAATACAATTATTATTTTATTTTAACCTAAACCTTTTCTTTATTTGAGAAATTTATTTCTATATGTTCACCCGCAGTTTTAAAAAAACTAGGTATACATTCATAATAACGTGTGTTTGTGTTAATAATTTTATTTCTAATTTTTCCAACAGCAAAATTTCAAAATTTTCGATTCTAATACATTCATATGTACATACGTTCATATGTTGGAACGAAAAATTTTAAAATCTTCAATTCTAATCCATTCATATATACATACATACACACATGTATTCATATATACATACATACATATATTTTTACATACATAAATTATTATTTTGTTTTTGTTTCTTTTTTAATTTTCGATTCTAATACATTCATATGTACATACGTTCATATGTTGGAAAGAAAAATTTTAAAATCTTCAATTCTAATCCATTCATATATACATACACACATATATTCATATATACATTCATACACATATTTTTAAAAAAAATATGTTTAAAAAAAACAGTTTAAAAAAAACAGGTATCCATTCATAATTATGTATATTTGCATTTATAATTTTATTTATAATTTTTCCAACAGCAAAATTTCAAAATTTTCGATTCTAATACATTCATATGTACATACGTTCATATGTTGGAACGAAAAATTTTAAAATCTTCAATTCTAATCCATTCATATATACATACACACATGTATTCATATATACATACTTACATATATTTTTACATACATAAATTATTATTTTGTTTTTGACTAAACCTTTTCTTTATTTGAGAAATTAATTTTTGTAAGTTTACCCCCATGATATAATAATTATGCGTTTAAAATTTATTTCTATTTATTCTACAGTTTTGAATATTATTAAATTCATATAGAAAGCTTAAAAAAATTACTCAGTAAGCTTTAAAAAAAATATACATACTACATACATATTTATGTACTTAAAATTTTTGCGAATTTTTCCAAACTATTATAGGAATATTTTTTTGGAAATTTTCTTTAAACTTTTATATAACATTTATCAGTTATATATTAAAAAAAAATAAAACACAAAATTTAAACAAAATAAAAAAAAAAAATTTTTAAAATAATCCAAAAAAAGAAAAATACAACAATCCAGGCAAGCATTGATCCAATAACCTTCTGGCTATGAGACTACCACGCTAACCACTAGGCTACGCAGTACCTTGAATTTCCCTTAATAATTCTATATTTTATTCATATATCGTATAACTCATCAAAAACCATCATATTTTACATTATATATATATAGCTACTTCTCCGGAGGTAAAAAGTACGGGTACTTCTAGAAGGGCTAGAGACATGGGACAAAAGGCATTAGATAGAATTTTGCCTCTAGGGTCCCAGAAAAATCTGACATTGGAACTTTTTAGCCCCGAAATAGCTCTATTTTAAGATTTTCTGAAAAAATTTTTGTATAACAAAAGCACGTTTTTCTTTTATACTTTTTATAATTAGAAACACAAACCAAGAAATAAATGATACGTTTTACGTTATTTTTATTATTAGAAACACAAACCGAGAAATAAATAATATTTGAAAATGCAATGATCTCACATATATTTTAATTTCGAAAAATCGAAATAAACTTAAATAAATGTCAGATTTTATAAAAGACATCAGATGTTTTGTGGCAACTGAATATTAATGCTTCATTTGTTATTGTTTTGAATATTATGTTTCGTCAGCAAGCTTTAAAAAAATATACATACACAATTTATGTACGTATGTATCTACCTAAAAGTTTAATTTTTATTGTTCGAGCGAAAACCTGTAAAAAATGCTAAATTCCAATACATTCATATATACATACATACACACATATGTATATTCATATATACATTCATACACATATTTTTACATACATAAATTATTATTTTGTTTTTGACTAAACCTTTTCTTTATGTTTAAAATTCAATCCTATATGTTTACCCACAGTTTAAAAAAAACAGGTATCCATTCATAATTATGTATATTTGCATTTATAATTTTATTTATAATTTTTCCAACAGCAAAATTTCAAAATTTTTGATTCTAATACATTCATATGTACATACGTTCATATGTTGGAACGAAAAATTTTAAAATCTTCAATTCTAATCCATTCATATATACATACACACATGTATTCATATATACATACTTACATATATTTTTACATACATAAATTATTATTTTGTTTTTGACTAAACCTTTTCTTTATTTGAGAAATTAATTTTTGTAAGTTTACCCCCATGATATAATAATTATGCGTTTAAAATTTATTTCTATTTATTCTACAGTTTTGAATATTATTAAATTCGTATAGAAAGCTTAAAAAAAATTACTCAGGAAGCTTTAAAAAAAATATACATACATACATATTTATGTACTTAAAATTTTTGCGAATTTTTCCAAACTATTATAAGAATATTTTTTTGGAAATTTT